AGGAGGTGGCGACGGTGAGGCGGAGGGAGGCGGCGGCGAGGGCGAGGCGGACGGCGGCGGCGGCGAGGGCAAGGCGGACGGCGGCGGCGTTGACGGTGGCGGCGGCGAGGGCGAGGCGGACGGCGGCGGCGGCGAGGGCGAGGCGGACGGCGGCGGCGGAGACGGTGAGGCAGATGGAGGAGGTGGCGACGGTGAGGCGGAGGGAGGCGGTGGCGAGGGCGAGGCGGAAGGAGGCGGCGGCGAGGGCGAGGCGGACGGCGGCGGCGTTGACGGTGGCGGCGGCGAGGGCGAGGCGGACGGCGGCGGCGGCGAGGGCGAGGCGGACGGCGGCGGCGGAGACGGTGAGGCGGATGGAGGAGGTGGCGACGGTGAGGCGGAGGGAGGCGGTGGCGAGGGCGAGGCGGAAGGAGGCGGCGGCGAGGGCGAGGCGGACGGCGGCGGCGTTGACGGTGGCGGCGGCGAGGGCGAGGTGGACGGCGGCGGCGGCGAGGGCGAGGCGGACGGCGGCGGCGGAGATGGTGAGGCGGATGGAGGAGGTGGCGACGGTGAGGCGGAGGGAGGCGGTGGCGAGGGCGAGGCGGAAGGAGGCGGCGGCGAGGGCGAGGCGGACGGCGGCGGCGGAGACGGTGAGGCGGATGGAGGAGGTGGCGACGGTGGCAAAAACGAGGGCGAGGCGGAAGGCGGCGGCGGCGAGGGCGAGGCGGACGGCGGCGGCGGAGACGGTGGCGGCGGCGAGGGCGAGGCGGACGGCGGCGGCGGCGAGGGCGAGGCGGACGGCGGCGGCGGAGACGGTGAGGCAGATGGAGGAGGTGGCGACGGTGAGGCGGAGGGAGGCGGTGGCGACGGTGAGGCGGATGGAGGAGGTGGCGAGGGCGAGGCGGAAGGAGGCGGCGGCGAGGGCGAGGCGGACGGCGGCGGCGTTGACGGTGGCGGCGGCGAGGGCGAGGCGGACGGCGGCGGCGGCGAGGGCGAGGTGGACGGCGGCGGCGTTGACGGTGAGGCGGATGGAGGAGGTGGCGACGGTGAGGCGGAGGGAGGCGGTGGCGAGGGCGAGGCGGAAGGAGGCGGCGGCGAGGGCGAGGCGGACGGCGGCGGCGTTGACGGTGGCGGCGGCGAGGGCGAGGCGGACGGCGGCGGCGTTGACGGTGGCGGCGGCGAGGGCTAGGCTGACGGCGGCGGCGGCGAGGGCTAGGCTGACGGCGGCGGCTGAGATGGTGAGGCTGATGGAGGAGGTGGTGACGGTGAGGCTGATGGAGGCGGTGGCGACGGCGAGGCGGACGGCTGCGTCTGTGACGGTGACGGCGACGAGGGCTGCGCTGACGGTGACGGCG